CTACTTAAGATAGTTTCTGGAAGCCACTGCTGCCTGTGCAGCCAGCTCCCAGGCAGGCCGTGCCCACAGAACTGCTCTTGCTCTGTGTTTGACAAATCACCAAGAAGCCTGTGCGTGTCTCCAAATTGACCCTCTTTGAATTCCAGGAAAGCTAGGAATTGTAGACCCTTGGGTCTTCTCTGTCTCATTCATGGGAGCTGTTTCACTGTCTATACCTATACTTCCTTGATCCCATTGGGATGTTTTTTTGGATCAGACTGACCATTCCTAATCAGCTATTGTTGCAGGACTACCAGCTGTTGGCCACAGAGTTGGAGGAGCAAGACTATCAAACCTGTCCAGGTGATGCTGTGGTGATGGGAAAGATCAGGAATTTTAAGCCCTAGGGAATCAACTTGTCTCTGCCTCAATCAGTATTTTGCCAGCCGGGTGGCACCTGACAGCTCCACAGAGCTTGGACAGTGAAGTGAAACAGCCAGCTACTCCAGGACATGGTCAGCACCCCAGCTTTCCCAGGCCCCCCAAAGATGAACAACATCCTTCAGGTCAGCAAGAAATAGTCTGGAGAATAGGGTATTCTTCTGTTGCCTCACCTGCTACCCCTTTCTAACTCTTCACCTTTTAATAATAAATAAAAAGGGAGGAATGTTAGTATTTAGGCATCTGCACTGGCCTGTCCTTGGGGTTCTGACAGGATATGTCCTCAGCTGCAGCCCCTAAGAGCAATACCTGTGCACATGCACTACATTCCCTTTTAATAAGGCCCTGCTCAACTCCCCCCCTCTCTCCCTGTCTCTCTCCCTGTCTCTCTGCTTCTCTGACTGTCTCTCCTTCTCTTCCCCCTTCCTCTCTCTTCTCTTCTGCTGTTCTGGCCAGTCTTCCTTCTCCCAACCCCACTTTTCCCATCACTTTCCCTCAGTAAAAAACCCTTCCACCCAAGCTGGGCCCAGAGACTGGCTCCCAGGATCAGGCCAGATGGGTACAGCTCCCAGTAGGGCCTTGCCTGCCACTCTCCTTGATGAGTCTATAACTAAAGGAACTACTGGAATCTTTTAGAAATTTTTTCCTGTTTAATTTAATGTCCTCTTGATTGATTGATCCCTTGATCAGTAGGAAGTGACCATCTTTATCTCTTGTGAGTAGTTTTGGTCTGAAGTTTTATTTTTTAGATATGAGAATTGCAGCACCTGTTTGCTTTCTGACTCCATTTGCTTTGGATACCTTTGTCCATCCTTTACCCAAAGGCAGTATCTATCTCTGATGGTGAAGGGTGTTTCTTGGAAGGAAGAAAATGATGGCTCCTGCTTTCTGGTCCAGAAATAAGCTGTGACTTTTGATTGGGGAGTTGAGACTATTAATATTCAAAGCTGTTATAGAAAGATGTATATTTATTTCTAACATTTGTTGATTTTTCTAGTGTCTGTTTCCTTGGTCTCTGTTTGCTTAGCTTCTGAATTATCATTGTTTATTTTTCCCCATGGTCTCTTCTATAAGCTTATCATTCTCTTCGGTCTGAAATCTAGTATCTTCTATAGGTTTGGATTGGTAGTAATATATTCCTTTAGACTGTGTTTATCTGGCAATGTTTTTCTTTCTACTTCAATTATGACATAGTTCTGTTGGACATAGCAGTGTGGCTTGGCATGTGGGCCTTCACAGCTGGAAGTGCACTACACCTGTCTTTCTGGCTTCATCACATGTTATTCTACTGGGACCTTCTTTATATGAGACTTCATCCTTCTCTCTTGCAGCTTTCAATGTTTCTTTGTTATATTAAAGGACACAGGGGAATCACTCCTCTAATCTTATCTATTTGGTGTGCCTCTTGTAATTGGATAGACATCTCTTTCTTTAGATTTGGGGAATTTTCTGTGGTTAGTGAAAACATTTTTCTGTGCCTTTGACCTGGATTTATTCTCCTTCTTCTACGCCCATAATATTTGTAGGTTTGTTTTTTTCATACTGTCTGGAAGGTCCTCCATAGTCTGTCTGTGTGATTTTGATTTATTGTTGTATTAGACTGAGTGCTCCAATTCCACTACCTGTCTTTATTCCCTGATAGTTCATCTCCCTGTCCACTGGTGAAGTTTGTCAGAACTGAGCTTTTTACCTCAAGTTTCATTTTGCTTTGTGTTTTATTTAATATTTCAATCTCTATATTGCATTTTATTTTCATAGCCTGAACTGGCATCCTTGTTTTGTATGTGCTTAATCCTCATCCTGGCCTCTTTTCATGTTCTCTTTGAGTTCCTTGAACAAATGTAATTTTTCTATTGAATTCATTGTCTTCAGTGTCATTCCATTTGCTTTCCTTGGGGATCATTACTATGGGATTAAAGATTCTGGAGATGTATTGTCTTAGGTTTTCATTTTGTTCTGTTTTTAGTAGAGGACTTGGGTGGAGTTAGGATGTTGGTCATATGGTCTGGCCCATCTTTGTGGGGTGGGCGCTTGCTTCTCTTCTCACTGTTATGCAGGTTTGACAAATTTTATATCAGCTAATGCCTGAAGCTCAGTCTTAGGGCCATGCAGTGTTGATTAGTGAGTTGGGCAGCAGAAGTATTTGTAGCTGAGCTACAAAGGTGTAGCCTCCGGCCTCACTAGCAGATGCTCTAGAGAACAAGAAGGTTCTCCTTGCAGTTCCCTAGAAACTGGGTTAGAGTCCTGGAGAGAGGTAGAGGGAATACTCAAAGTGGAGCATTTGGGTACTCAGCACAGGTCCTCAGAGGGTGGCATTAGGGTCTCAGGGTGAGGGAGGTTTGAGAGGTTTCTATGGGGCAAGCAAGGCAGTGGCACAGGTCCTCATTTGGGCAGCATTGGGATTCCAGGATTAGGAAGTGATCATCACTTATGGAGGGAGCAAGGGGCTCAGGGCAGGCCCTCAGATGGTGATGTTAGGTTCCAGGGCTAAGGGGAGGAGAGGGATAATTAAAGGGGAGTGAGTGATTGCACACAGATACCCTGATAGCAGAGACAGTATGCAGGAGGTGTGAGGTATGGGACCTTTAACCTGACAGGCACTTGAGGGAAAGTTCAAGTGGGTACAGGGCAGAAGAAATGTATGTGGGAAGTGGGAGGTCTGGGATCTCTTATCTGTCTAGGTTGAAAGGACACAAGCCTATATTTGTATATTGAACCATGCCTTCTTCCTAGGACCCATTCCCTTAGTCCTCGGTTATGGAAGCTCAGAGACATTAGTGGACTTAATCAAGATTACACCAAACATCAGGGAAAGATGTACAAAGTATGGATGGAGTGACTGCTCACTGGAGGGTACCACAGGAGAGGATAGGGCATTTTGCTCGGGCTCTGTGTGTTTTAGATAAGGATAAGTGGGAAAGGTCAATAGGATAGTTAGGCAATCTACATGAATAAGCAGAAGACAATGTACAGTATGTGTGGCATGATTGATAAAAACCCAGAGACAGATATATAGATATCAGGGTTCAAACTGAAGATTAGAAAACCTAAAGCAGTCAAGCCACTAAAGCGTTCTTAACCCTACCAAGGCTAAGACCAAAGGGCCGATCATGTCCTCTGATTGCATCTCCAAACTGCACTGCTCCTCAGACTGCCTAGACTGCAGACTGAATGCAACACTGTACTCCTGTCTCCTCTCCCCTTATATTCTTCTCTAGTCCTGGGACTAAAGGCTTGCCCCCCCCCCCCCAGCTTCTATGGCTAACTAGTGTAGCTGCTGGGATTAAAGGTCTGTGCCACCACTGCCTGGCCTCTATAGCTGTGGCTAGCTTTGCACTCTGATCTTCATGCAAGCTTTATTAGATCATAAACAAAATATCACCACAGGTGTGATTTCCAGATTGAACTTGTTAGGGGGGCCACCACTGGACTCCACTGACCAACAGTCAGCAGTGGAGAAGCTCAGTGGAGTTTGAGTGTTTAAGGAGGTGACAAGAGGTGACTTAAAGAGTTCACATAAAATTAACAGTGGTAAGACACAATCAAGATTTGTGGACTGCTTACAGAATGCTGTATTAGATACTTTTCACATTGCTATGACAAAGTGCCTGACAAGTACCATTTAAGGAAGGAAGGGAAATTGGTTTGAAGCAACACAGTCCACTGTGCAGAGAAAGCTGATAGCACGAGTGAGAAGTGGCAGGCCACATTGCAGTCACCAACAGGAGGTAGAGAGAGATGAATATTGGTGCTCAGATCTCTTTTTCCTTTTATGGTTTTTGTTCAGTCCAGGGCCCCTGCCATGGCATGGCATCACCCATATTCAGGGTGGGCCTTCTAGAATCTTCAGCTAAACATCTATGAAAATCCCCTCACAGGGTGAACACACCTCAGAGTGAAGCCAGTCAAGTTGATAATGAAGATTAGTCAGCACAGATACCAAGAGCCATCCTCAGGGCCCTATATACATTCAATGTAACCAACAGAGAAACTTTATGAGCAAAGTTGCTGGTGTAAAACTGGGACAAAATCAAGGAGGCTTGGTGACATTCGTGGGGTATCCCAGAGGGGCAGTGATGGGGTCCACCTTACTCCCAGATAGTTCCACTGCAGAACCTTCATTCTTATTACTCCTGAGATGCTTTCCCCCATATCAAAAAAGAGTGGGAAATTCTTCCTGGGCACAGAGAATAATGGCAGGATTGTGTGTCCCTTCTATTTGAAAGTCCTTGTCTCTCACACATTCATAAAAACATAATTTGCTGTTGGGGAGAAAGCAGTGTAGAGAAATAGATTAAATAACATTTGGGCTCTACAGCAGCAAAGGTTAAAGGCTACACAGGGCTTTCTTGCTCTGTTTTTTTTTTTGTTTTGTTTTGTTTTCTACTTATGTGAAATGTTTTATAATCATTTTAATTGATTGCCTCTGCTTGAAGGAGAAAGCAGAGTTTGTGCAATGGTATCCCTCCAGATGTGGCAGGAGAGGGCAATAGCAGAAATAAGACCAAAAAGACAAGAAAGTCATTAAAAATGACCTCTGCCACATGGCAGAGTGAAAAGTGATCATGCACAGCCCGATGTGTCCACATTTACACATTTATTTGGGTTTAGAGAGAAAACACAGGTAAAATACTTTGATCATACACAAGTTTATACTTGGTAGGAAGAACAGGTTGCCACATGTCTGTATGGTTTATTTTATTTTTATTCTGTCTTTAGCAATAGAGGGGTGCTGGGGAAATATTGACATTATTTAGAAACACCATTTGGTAACAAGATCTTGGCACACACAACTAATTAATACACAGTGTTTGCATTTATCACTTGAAACAGAAAAGCACGTGCAAGATGATACCTGATTTGATGGTCTTTGATTCTTTGTCCTGCTGCTATATTTACACCTGTGCTTCCTTTGTCCATGTTCTGAGGAGCAGCACCTACTCCAAGTCCCCACAGAGTCAACACCTGCAGTGTCAGCAGCTCGTGACACTCTGTAATTGGTTTCTCTAGCCTCAGAGATGAAACAGGGTTCACTTTACATTTTGTGTTCGATCACAGAATTCACAAAGAGATTTCTTAGGGTGGGGCTTAGCTGAGGTTATGTTCTCTATAAGAGCTGATGTACAGGGCATACAGCTTGGGACAGGGTGAGAGGGTGAGGGAGAAGAGAGGTGAGAACTGGAACAGATGCAAATGTAGTTCTCATGGTCTCAAAGCTCAAAGTTCAATATGGCTACCACATAGAAGACATACTGACAATTGTGCAAGCTTTTACAGCAACACATGTTGATTTGCAACACCACACAAGTCAATATAAAGTGCACAACCCCAATCTGAGGTGACAAGACAGTACTAACAATGTACTAAAGGCAATACACACACACATACACACACATACACACATACACATACAATTTTTTCTTTTCTTGAATCCCATGACAGTACATGCACTCTATACCATTTAGAGATCTCAGATAAACACACACTGCACTTTTTTTCAAGTATTTTAAATAATAAATGAAATATTGCTGTGTAAATAAAAATGGCCACATCAATTCTGATTAAAGCTGAAACCAATGTTTTATAAATGAAAGAAAAAAAGTTCACAGATAAAGACCTTTGGCACTGGGAATTTGGACCAATGTTCAATGCAATCTCCCTCCATTATTTTTCTTCCCATCTTCCCTCCCCTCCTCTCTCAAGTAGATGGCAGATCTAATTAAAGCATTGGCCTTCCTCTCTAGAATACAGTGGGAAGAGATTTCCGTATGTAAGGAAAGCTCCTAGAAAACTTGAGGAAGAATCTGTAAATAAAATGATAGATTTAATTCCATTAAAAAGGTATTTTGCTGAAATCTCATATATGGACATTATTACTTTTTCAAGTTTGCCATCTCATCAAACTAGAAGCCAGCTTCTGCTACCAAGTCTGTCCCCTAAGGGCTAAGCTTTTCTGTCTATCAGGACACCAGGCCCTCTGCCTTCTCTAAGTGGGACAGTGGGTTTGATAGAGAGTATCTCTTCCTATAAAATGAGATCTTTGAGCCTGAGGCTCCACAGCCAGTTTCTAGAAAGGCCTACTTGCCCATTAGAGAGTACCTAAGATGGGAGGCTATTCCTTCATGCAACTCAGTTGCATAGGGAGTTTTCTCTTCAGTGCTCTGGGGAGTCCTTTGGCTTTCTAGACAGCAAAGGCCTGTTTGCACACAGCCTGATCAAATAAGGTCTGGGGCTAAGTCATGAAGATATGTGACAGCTGAGGACAGGACTCTCTTTCTTTGTTCCTGTAGTCTTTCTGAATTTTGAAATGCCCATCCACTTGGAGTGGAAGAATGCTTCCAGACCGGTACCTGCCATTTGTTTGTAAAAGGCCATAGTTCTCCTACCAGCACTTAGGTCATATGTGACTCTAAAATTATCATGGATAGTTCTCCATACAGCTGACAGGGAAAGAAGCTTACTTTTAAAATACTATTTTAAGTTTTAGTGATCTCTGCATATCTTGGTCACTGTGGATTTTGACGGGAGGCAGATAAAGGGTCTTAGGCTATCTTGAAACTGCTCGCATGAGGATCTCATTTCAGAAAAGGAAAACATCCACATGGGATATTAATTCCTTCTTGAGGGTCTGGAGGTAGGGAGTCTAGCAGGAGAAACTTTAAAGTGTGGATGAAGAAGGAATTCAGACAAGAGAGTAGACATGACACAAATGACCCTTTCCCCAGAAAGCAGCAGAATGGTATTTGGGATGAAGCCATTATTGTCACACAGAGGTCTCATCTCCCATGGCTGGGTTTAATATTTTGAGCTCATCACACTCCTCCTTGCTAGGGCTGATTAGGTTTTATTTTTAGTTTTTTCTAATTAATCCAAGTGATCTAATAAAAGAAATATGCTTTGAAAAGACACTTCAAGAACTAATATCAACCTTCTGTTCAAATCAGGCTACAGGGGAAAGCAGGACAGACATGCTTGCCCGAATCTGGGACCAAGCAGGGCTTATAAACTGGGGATTCTAGGGCCAACTCGTGCAAAGCCTAAACAGGAAGAGAGTCTTAATTGTTGATCTGGTCAATTGTTTTTAGAAGTTTCTTTGTGTGTGTGTGTGTGTGTGTGTTTGTTTTGAAATATAGTCTTTAGGACTATAATAAGCCATGATATATACTAACATAAATTATTAAACTTTTAAAGAATTTTGTGGGTTTCTATGTTAAAATTACCTTGCTAACGGTTTTATTGTGCCTCTGTGAAAAGAAAGAGAGAGAGAAAAAAATAAAGAAATAAATCTGGCTTAGGTTTCATATCTGCCCCTGCAGTTTATATAACCCATATAAAATAAAATCTATATGTTGTTACAAAATAGGATTTCTTTTATATATATTTTTCTTTTTGTAAAATTATATGTATTTAAATACATTTGAAATGTTGCTATAGGTAAATTAGAAATTTTTTTCTAATACTATGAAAAAGGCAAGAGTTTGTATTGTCAGCATACATTTTATATTTACTTTGTCCTTTTCACGGCACCCAGAGAACCTCTTATGATTCAGGGGTGATTTGGCACTAGTCAGTACTCCTGCTCTGAAGTGAAAGCAAAGTTGGGTTGGCATATGATATTAAAAGGGTAGTACTTATAACAACTTTATGCTTTCTCTTACTGATTAGAACATAGCCTTTTGTCACTAATTATTAGAGAGGTATTCTAAACTTAAGAAAGGATTTTTAAAAGGAGCGATGTTTCTTTTTTTATGTTTGTTGGTTTTGATTTTTTTAAACTGTACTCTACTGTGACACCACAATATAGAAATAGTTTTACTTTGGAACAAACTACAAATACATTTACACAGTTGTGACAACTTAACTGTCTACCTAGAGAATTTAAACAGTTTGATGAGCGAGGTGATTACAAATCCTGTCCCAGGCGTTCGATTTCTTCAATGAGGAAGTCGATGTCTTGGTGAGTTGCTGCAGGGTTTGAGATGACCATGCGGAAGAAGTTGACCTTGTCTCCCAGGGGTTGGTAACTGACCATTGTGGTCCCATACTCCATCATTCTGGCTTTAATCACTGGTGCCACCTGTAGGAGAGACTACATCAGTGCTATGACATTCTTTTCTGGACCTCTCTTAGGTTAGGGACCCCACAGCAAGCCATGATTTTGGCTTTTAGCTAAATGGGACCACAGTTTTCTCTTAAAGGAATGTCTTCAAGTTTTCATGGGATCAGAAAATAAAAACAGCTCAAAACATTGGAAACCTTAAGTATGATAAGAGTAAGGCATAGTAGGCTAGCAGGTGCTTGCCACCTTGATTGTTTAGTTAGTGTTTGGTGGGAATGGGAAGAATCTGGTCTTGGTCCAGGCCTAAATGGTTTAGAGAACTAGATGAGAGAGAGTGTCAATCCAGAAACTGTGAAGTCATTGTAAAGAAAGCACTGTTCATAGAATTATTATGAGGGATATGTCTTAGTATCACGTAGTGGTACTAAGTAAAAGTAGTGGACCTCTGAGGGGCTGGAGATATGGTTCAGGTGGGTGACTGCACTTTCTTGAAAACACGAGGACCTGTGTTGTCCTAGCACCCAACTAACAAAACCAGGAGTGGTTGCACGTGCCAGTAACACCAGTGCTGTGGGGAGGAAACAGGCTGGCCCTGGAGTTCACTTGCCAGCCTAGCTGAAATGGTGAGCCTCAGGTTCAGCAGGTGACCATGTATCAAGAGAACAGAGCAATAGAGGAAGACACCCAGTATCTCCTCTGGCCTCCCTAGGAGGGCACACCCCACTACCACACACACACACACACACACACACACACAGAGAGAGAGAGAGAGAGAGAGAGAGAGAGAGAGAGAGAGAGAGAGAGAGAGAGAAAGAGAGAGAGCACAGATATCATACTTCTGACAACTTTCCTGTGATCCAAAACTTATCTAGTTTCTTTCCATTCTCTTTTAAAATTACTTTTACTTATGAGTGTTTTTGAGAGGGAGGAATTATAAAGAATTATCTAGGAGTAAAAAGCTGGGTTCACAAGACTTCATATACAGAAGAATATCTCAGACAAAATCACAGCATTTCTGTTAGCCTGTTCATTGCAGCTTCATGGGCTCTCTTTGCTGTTTCAAATTGAGTTCATGCTCCCTAGCTTGGCACAAAGGTCTTTTGTCATCAGCTCCAAGGATTCATCTTCAACTGCTCACCAAAACGAATCTACAACTCTGACAAGAGCAATTTATTAAATATCCCTTGAACCATCTATATTTTTGTCATTCCATGCCTTCATCAGTCTTATAGTGGCATGCTCTCCTAGTCCACAGACTAGGTCTTCTGTAGGACTCCACATCCTAAACACTCTGTAGGATTTCCCCCACAGTGATACACAAGCTGCCAACCATTTTCTGCCTGTCATCTTTCTTCTTCTGAGTTGTAATGACATGGTCCTTACCTGTTAAGTCTAACAATATCCTAATCTTTTAATTGGCCTTCCACTGATGAACAGATAAATTGTGTCTTTCTACCTCATCTGTAAGCTGAGGGAAGATAGGCACAGTACGTTTTCTTTCCTTTGCTCTCTAGAACAGTGCAGGGAAGTGTAACAGGCTTTCTGAATTCTGATATGGCAGTAGCATGGGAGGAACAGTTCTCTAAGACAAGAGATACATTCCAGTTGCATCTTCTCAGATTCGTGATCTGCTCACATTGCATTCACCACTGGAGTTTGTAAATATAGCATCTGATCTTTGATGTTCACAACATTGATACAGCCAGAAATAAGAAGTCAGATTTGCTTTTAACTTATGTGGCATGTACATGGTCAGAAATTCAGTTGAAAATGGGGACCATCCCTTACATCACAGCAGGCCTCTTCATAATTAAAATACACACTTGTTTCTTCCTAAGGGGCTAGTATTCACGAAGTAGCATACAGTTATCATGGAAATGCATTTTCACTATAAGTTATAAAGCTTTTGTGTTTAAATCTTAGAAGTGCATGAAATGAAATGGGGAAATAGAACAGTCATCAAAGAGACATTCTGCAATGTTAAAATCTTGCCAAAAAGTCTCATTTGCAGACCTTTACAAAGGCATCTCAAGTATTCTGCCAAATTGCTTCTTTACCAATTTGCTATTAAACCCATTTGTTGATCTTTTGAAAATAATCAATTAGTGGCGAACTATAAAAGCTGATAAAAGAGATGCAGGTGATGATGAAGAATTGCTGGGCATGGTGATGCACACCTTTAATCCCAGCATTTGGGAGGCAGAGGCAGGCGGGTCTCTGTGACCTCTAGGCCAGCCAGGGCTACATAATGAGCCACTGTCTCGAAACAACAGCAACAAGACAACATAACAAAAAGAATAATTAGAAGAGAGGCAAGAGTGTAACTCAGAGGTGGGACAGCTGCCAGGCATGTGTGAAGTCCTGAGTTCCATCCCTAGAATAGCAACAATGAAAAAGATGGTGATGAAGATGAAACAGAGGAACCAGAAGTAGGAGAGGTGGTGCATGGAGCAGCCTGTCTGGGCAGCTGGAAATGCATTTACTAGATCCTCATCTTGACATCCTCACGAAGGATGAATGCTTGAATTAGTAATAGCCACTTCTGTTATCCAGATATTTGTCCCCTACCAGTGAACCCTTGGGAAAGGCCCATGAGCCACCATTAAGTTTGGTAAATGTTCTCTTCCCTCATGCATGAAAGTATGTGAAAAGTGCTCACTGTAGACTGAAAACTGTGTGCCCTTAAATTTCTATGTTGTCATCCTACTCCCCATTGAGGATGGGGCTCTTGGGAGGCTCTGCCTTATTAGTTTGTGCCTTTGTATGAGTCCCCAGAAAGATGTTTTTCTTTCTTTCTGCCAGAGGATGGTACAGTGCAGACTGTCAATGATGCAGAAGTGAGGCCTCAGCAGACACAGATTTTGCTGACTTCTTGATCTCAGGGTTCCCAGTCACCAGAACTGTGGACAATCAATTCCTGTTGTCCATAAGCCACCTAACCTACACAAGTTCATTATATTGCAAACCCCTACATCTCAGTACTTTATCTCAGCAATTGACTTTCGTGTGGGTTCTTGGCTTTGTCTTGTCCAGAATTTAACTTTGCTCCTTCTCCAACATGCAGGTGCACACATGGGAATATGCACTCACATGTCCATTTGCAGACACACGTGAACATGTACAACACACACTGACAAACTAAAAACCACATCTGAATTTCATTCTGCTGAGGAATGTGGTGCTGGATTGCTAAAGGGCAGATGTTAATATCCAAAAATTTTCCTGAGGATTTTTCATCTACAGGAATCCATTCTTCCCTTTACATAGAGGGAATGGATTGTTCTAGAAGGTTAGTAAGGTATGGTGAGATTCTTAGCAGTGGGGAGTACATGCCTGCCTAACCTGGCTCTGCCTCCATCCTCCTCTAGTCACTGAAAAAAAAATGCCTAGGGCATCTAACTTTCTGAAGTTCAAGCATATAAATCACCCTAGTTTCCCATTTCTACAGCACCTTGATGCCTTGATGGCATATACCAAAAACACACTTCACCCATGTGTAGATATTGGGAGCAGGTAGAGATTAAAGGTAAAAAAAAAAAAAAAAAAGTATTTCCTGACCAAAGGAGACCTCAAAGCAACTTAGGCTCTGGAGTCAGACTTACTGTGTAATTTGGGGAAAATTACATTTTCTCTCTGTCAATCAGTACTTGGCCACATCAACTCACACATTCTGTTATGAGACTTTAAGTGACCTAAAACATGATAAATGTTGAGCCTGGGGCACAATGCACACTGTAAGTGGTAGCTGTTAATATTATTGCTACTTCCCCTGGGTAGCCTTGACCTTGGTATCTAAAGAGTGCCTACAGCAGCCTTTTTTCCCCCTTCTATTTCTGATACTTGAAATGTCTTTTGTCCTTGTAACTGTGAGTATCTGTTTCCTTTCAAAAACCAGAAACCTTTGAGGACAGTTCTTGGTGCTTTCTAAATGTCGGTGGAGATTATCAACCAATCAGTAATTTTAAGACATCATAAACTCTTTCTCTCTAGAACCAAGCAAATGGAATTGTGAAAAGTCAGGAAATACAGACTTTGCACATCTTGGCTCTGTGGGAGCCACAGAGGGTATCGGTCTAGGCATCAGCCTGGTATTCCCCAGTAAGAGTTTCTTATTACAAAGAAGGTCCATAGAAAAAAGGAACTGTCAGCATCTACCTTTGAGAGGCGGCTCATTCTCTCTTCATTGTCTTCCAGAACACGCAAACTGGGAGGCACGAACCAGAAGCACACATTTGTGTGCTGAGGCTACAAGGAAGAAAGTAGGATTCAGACCTGGTTCAAAATTCCAAGGATGATTTGGATGTACTTATTCTTCAGGTTCAGAAGATAATTGCTGTATTTAAATGAGTAATTGCCTTTGGGGTGTCTCACTTTCACATTCTATAGATTTGCTTGTGAGTCTGATCTTTATTCTAGCTCAAAAGAGCCATCACACCATCAATTGCTTGCCTTAGTAATGGTTCCTAGCTAGACAGCACATTACTGACATCAGAAAACACCAGGGGTGAAGAGTGGAACTGAAGATACGGGGATTCAACAATGGTGATTGTTGGAATGTGAGTACATACCTTCCCATCAAACACCATTTCATAGCCTTCTCGGTTTTTGATGATATTGTACAAATACTCTGCCAGCTCCAAACACTTATCAATATGTGCTTCAAAGCCAATAGTCCCCTACGAAAGAGAAGAAGGAAAAGCATTAGGAAGGCCTGGTGTGTGGGTAGCTATCAGCTGGAAATAAGGAATGACATGAGTCCCCTGGAGACTGCCCAGGGTCACCCTGCCCTTTCGAGCTCTGCCAGGCTGAGATGAGACTACTCCTGGAGGCTTCTCTGCTGAAGGCTCCTGTTTAACGCCCCACCCCCCAGGTGCATTTGTTCCTTTTCATTACTAGGGCCCACAGCTGACTCCTTTTGTTCCCAGGGCTTAATTCCCCAGGCAATTATTTTGATTACTCAAGGGGAAAATTTGCCTCCGCAGCTCATAGATGCAATCATGGAAGTCATTAATAACAGAAGGGCTGGGCTAGTCTTTTCCTGTAGACAAGACCCCCCACATGCCTGCCTGGCCCCCACTCTTGTTGTAAATTATCCATCCCCAAACTCCCTAAATGGCTCAGTAAGAACAAACAGGCACTCACTGAATGTCAGTTGATCAAACAAATGAGTCTTGGGAAGCCTGTCATTCTGCCTAGCTTTTTGGTGTTGTCCTTTGTGATGAAGTATGACTCATATGTCAGCTGGGTGAATATGCCATTGAAGTCTTCTGCTTCACAGTTCTGGAAGCCTTGGGTCTGGACTTATGAAACACAGTACAACAGCCTTGGGCTGGAGCTATTTAACCAATGTCTAGGCACACTAAGCAACTAATTTCTAAAATGCCTTTCCTCCTTTAGTACCTGTATTTGACAAGTGCAAAGGGAAATCTCAGCAAAGCATTTAATGCTGTTGGTACTGGTACAGGCATACCACCTAACCCAGCATGGGAACCAGAGGAAGCAACTCTAACTATAATGGAGATAAGATGGGTATGTTTTTCCCTTTTATTCAGGGCCTTATCATCCCCCAAAGGGAAGAAACAACACAGCCCATGTAAAGCATGTTTCAGGTCCTAATTCCTGGGGGTAGTGGAAGAAATATCAGATGTGGATCAAACAGCAAGAGTAGGACAACCCCTGACAGGAAGGTGAAGAAGCCAGCTTTTCCCAGCTTTAAAATGAAAGACCTCAGAGAGAGGTGAAAAAGGGAAGGTCACCGGCTACATTACTTAAGAGCTTTTTTTTTTCTATTTGTTATGCAAAGCTTCAAATGTCTGGATATCCAAATGGAAAATTTTCCATTTGGCTTCCAACTTCAAGCTTCAAATTTTTTCAAGATGAAATGATAAGAGTTATCAAAATAATAAGTGCAGTCCCTCAACCTAGACCAGAAGTGAGGATAATTATCCCATCTGAAGCTCCCTAGCCATGCCTGTCACGGCGTCAACCTTTCCCTGCAAGAACAACCGTAGCAAATGTGGCTGTGATGATTACATGGTTGTGAGACAAGATCCTACTCTGAAGACAGGCTGATCCCCAGCTCACAGCAATCCTCCTGCTTACTGAGCAGAGGGAGTGATCTTTCTTTCATGTAAATTGAGAGTCCAGTCAAAATTAAACTAAGTGAATCACAAAGCAAAGCCAAGAAATCCCTCAGAAGATTTGAAGGTGGGACTTGGACTTGGGTTTTGGAGGGATAAGAAAGGGTGGAGGAACACCTGTGACTAGAATGCATTATATACATGCATGAAACTGTCAACGAATAAACTAATAAAAACATAATCTCTGACTTAGCAGCCTCCTTGCATTTAACATGTCTGCCTCCAAAAGGCTGAGAAAAGGCCCAGTCTGTACTGTACCATTATAGAAAGTACTTCACTGGTAGGAGAAGGATCATCTCTAGGTAAAATTTGAGGTACACAGAACCCCACACAAAGAACTGGGCAGGCACTTCTAGAGTTTTAAAAAGTGTTTTCTCATTTGTGGCATTTTTCATTCCTGTTTCTGTCTGTAAACACACTAATCTACCTGGTGATTTGTCATCGAGATGGATTATCAGTCAAGATGGAGAGGAGGACACAAATAACAATGAGAATGACAACGGTAAGAGGTGCCTCTTAAAAACCAGGCTTCTTTGCCAAATGCATCAAAATGGGTTTTTGAGTTGAGAGCTTTAGAAACAACTGGCTTGAGAGGAGACAAAGGAGGGGGCCTCATTGTGCTCTTGCCTGTGGAGACTGTGGGTATGCAGATATAGGATTAAAGAGAATTCCCTGAGTAATTTTCCATCCACCAACCACTTTTCACAACCTTTGTCGTATAGACGTTCTTTTCTTTAGTCGCCATTCAGCTGGCCTGTGCTCACCTTTGCTCTCCACATGAGCCATAGTTTAAAGACATCAACGTGGCGTCCACACTGCAAGGCCTTGTCTCCAGTGTCGTAGGACAGGTCATAGTGCTTATCTTGCTGAAAGAGGTAGGAAGCATGCATCTGGTTGCAGCTCTGCATTAGTCCCTGCAAAAGCAAAGAGGAAGTTCAGGGCACTCTCTTCACTCTGCCTTGGCATTCTATTGTGGGGGCAATTGCTAAGAAAGAAAAGCCATAGATCCAAATGTTTTTGTATCTCATGGAAGAAGAAAGCAGCAAGAATTAAAAAAAAAAATAACTACTGGACAAGACTGTCCAGGCAAGCACCACAGACTGATTCTGTGGGATGAAGGCTCAGGGTGGAATGCTACCAGAGGTTAGCAGGGACACATTTACGTTTTTGTTTTCTTAGGAAGTGACATTTATAAAAATGCATAGATATATAAGGTTCATATGATGTTCATTTTCTAGGAGATTGTCTTAATCTAGTTCTGTTGTAATTCAAATATTTCAGAAACCCAATACTTGGGAGGCGGAGGTAGGAAGATTGCTGCAAGTTTGAGGTCACCTTGGTCAACCTAGTGAGTTCCAGGTAGTCAGGGTTGTCTACCAAGACCAACCTTTTAAAAAGGAAGAAGAAGAAAGAGAAAAAGGAAGGGGGAAGGGGCTTCAGAAACTCTTCTGTTCTTTGATTTTTAAGATTTATGTGTGTGGATACTTTGCCTGCATGTATGTCTACCATGTGTCTGTAGTGCCCCAAGAGGACAGAAAAGGGCGTTATAACCCTTGGAACCGGAGGTACAAATGATTGCCAGCTGCCATGTGGGTGCTGGGACTCAAACCTCTGTAAGATTAGCTAGTGCTCATCATAACTTTTGAGCCATCTCTCCAGTCCCAACTTTCTGGTTCTCAAAATACCATTACTGTGGTTCTTCTAGAACGTTCACTCCTCTGTAATTACTGGAGTTTGAGCTATTTGCTAGCTCATTGCTCATATTTTTATAAATTGGAATGTAAAAAAAAGCTCAAAGACACTGCAATTATGAGTTGAACCTAAATGAGCAGATTTTGCCATCTCCTGTTCCTCTCGAAAGGGCCAGGCTTGGAGACTCCATTTTCACATTCAGTTGCTTATGGCAAAGGAGATTTTCCTGCAGTGACCATGAATCTGCCCAAGCACCATACCCCTAATATAGAAATAGGCAGCAAAGCAATTGTTCCGAAGAACGGTGAATGACTCATGCTTCTGGCTACAATAGCATTGCCAGTCTCCTCCTGGAAACCCCACCACGATTCAATTTATCACATTCTCTGGAGGCTCCTGACTCTCCTGTCAGCTGCTGTGCAATTGTGATTTTATAAATGCTTTGGCATTTGCTTTTCTTTCTCTTGTGACTCATGACAAGAGAAGAAAAGACCAAAAGGTGATCACTGAGCTGAAGTAGTAGTGAGAACCTTTTTAAAAAGTTATCCTAACTAAAACGCAGAGCAATGCAGACAGGGCACTCTGTAGACGATAGAATTAGCTTCACCTTTAGCTCAGGCTTCATATTACATGGACTCTGTAGTTATCTTTGAAAATAAGAATAAAATAAATGTGATGTGTAGGCATGAGAGCAAGAGGAAGACATTGAACTTGAAAAAGAAAATCCCCTTATGGATTAATAAGATGTAGAATTATAGGAGGTGCTTATACTTTGATTCATGGCCACAAAAGCCTTGGTACCAGTTTTTCCCTGGCATTGAAAGTTTACAAATAGGTGTCATCCATACCAAAGGAAAGAACTTCAAAGAGTATGTGGTGGTGGGAGGGTCAGACCAGCTCCTACTGAAATGGAAATACTAGTTTGTAGTTCACGATTTTCATGACAGACCAGGGTCACCATGTCCGCAGAAGCAAACAGTGGTCTAGGTTTTTATGCACAAGTCTTTTGTGAGTTAATGTCCTGGTTCTGAGCAAGGAAATAGTCATAGATCACGGTGTTCCAAACTAGTCCAAATACATGAGTGGGTGCTGCACAAAATGGAAATCTTGCATTTCAATAGACTTAGGAACCTATATATTTATGCCTTGTGTCTAGATATTATAATGTATAACAGAATATTAGTGGCTTCAACAAACCCTTGGAATATTAGGATTTGTTTTAAACTCTTATCACTACATCTCAACCTTTTGAAACCTGAATTTTTTTTCCACCACAGAATTTTCACTGCAGTTTTGTGTGATGCCATTACTCATTGTATTCCAGAAGTGGTAGTGGTGTGTGTGTGAGGTGGGGGGTGGGGAGTGGGAGGAGATGGCCAGAACACCATAAGCTCTTGGATTTGAGAGGATCTTAGAATTAAACTAGCCTAGTTCTTTCTTTTCTTTGAATTATTTTTATTTTTAATTCTGTGTATCAATGTGTGTGCTGGTTAGTTTTTTTTGTCAACTCCAGAAAAGCTAGAGTCATCTATCTGAGAAGAGGAACCTCAATTGAGAAGATGACTCCATCAGATTGGCCTATGGGCAAGTCTGTGGGTCATTTTCTTTATTCATGATTGGTGATGCTGGAGGACCAGCCCACTGGGGGAGGTGCTACCCTGGGCAGGTAGTATGAGGTTGTATAAAAAGTAAACAGAGAGTCATGTAGAGTACCTTTCACAGTGTGTGGGGCCTCCCATATTAATTGTAATGTTCCTGACTGTTGGAAGTCTCGCTTGGTGGGGTCCCATATATAATTTGGGATGAAGAGAAGTGGAAACATTGCAGGTGGGGCTTAACCAGTGGCTAGTAGAGATACCAACTTTTGGGTGCTGGATTTACACTTCTCAATCATGGTCTTTTTGAATGACATTTTGATTTGCTTTTATTGGCCCTGTATAGTACCCATTGAAGTTCCATTTTCTTTTCACAAGTCTTAGCAGTAAATGAGATGAGCCTGTCTCCTCAAGCTCAAGTGTAGCCTGCTCTGTCTCAGCCTTCCCTTGATGTGGCTTTTCCTTGCTGTACCCCATTCTTCCCCTTTGGAACAGGAATGCTTACTCTGTGCTGTTGTGGGTCTTTTGGGTTTCAGTGGCTCACGATTAACAGCTTTAAGTTTCTGAAGAGACCTTGGGACAATGTTGAAACTGCTGGATTACAGTGATTTTTGAACTGCCTGCACTTGGCATTATGAGGTAGCCACAAGTGTGAGGAGGCCAGGGAGAGAATGCTATGTTTAGAATGTGAGATGTCCCTTCATAGGCACATGTTCAAACCTTGGTTCCCTTGATGGTAGTGCTGTTTGGGGAGACTGTGCAAACTTTAGGAAGAAATGACTCACTGGGATAGGCCTTAAGGGTATAACCTAGCCTCACATTCAGCCTATTCATTTGTATTCCGCAGAGACTGGAGGTGGTAAGATATGTCAGCCACTGCCACACTGTGGCCTGTGGCTGTGTCTTCCTTATTGTGATTGACTGGGTCATCTCACACTGTGAGCCAAAACAAACCCTCCCTGCCTTAAATCCCCTCCTATCAAGTATTTGGTCCTAGTGATGAGAAAGGAAATCGATTAACAGCATCCTCTTTCAAATGAGACTCTCTGTCCTAATCTGTAAAACACAGCCTGTGCTCTGACTCTGCCACCTTCCAGCTTCCTCCCATCGGAAGCAGATAGGAGCTTTGACGTCTCAAATTGTCATCGAGTGATTTGAGTAGGGATGAGTCAGGTGCCAAGCCACAAGGCTCTATCCTGGGTGGCATCAACTCCTCACTGGGCAGATCTTTCCAGTGCAGGCGGCCAATCAGATCCAGATTGGCCTGTTTTCACATGACTTACATTTCTCTTTTTGGCTTGCTGTGATAGAATGCAAACCACTACCAGCATCTGGCTGGGACATAATTAACAATGGTTTATTTTATGTTTTGGAGTAGTAGCTGAGATGTACATGGGCTAGGGTAATGGTGATAAAGTAACTGAGTGTTTCTTTGCAAACTAGTCCCAAGGGTTACCTTTACAAAATTCCTCAAATTTTGTAGGGCAGTTTGTCTTCAATTTGTGTCCAGATTTTAATTAATTTATTTGATGAAGACACAGAAGGCATGGTGCTTAAATTAATAGTTATTAAGAGGGATGAAAGATCAATAAAATAAGAATGTCCTTTGACCCAGAAATCCTTCTTAAAGGGATTAATAATCAGAAAAGTGATAAAGACACATGTTTAAGGATTTTGTCAAACAACTAGGTATCATGTGATAGAGAATTAAAAGATAATTAAAATAAAGTTTTGAAATATCATGTTCATCCTAGCATGTTAAATATAGAATGTAGTATATGAGATACATGGTAGCAATTTTATTTAGAATGTACAAAATATATCTATATATAATATACACAGTCCTAGAAAATTGTGGGAGCATATATTTAAAGACAATGGTGATATTATCACTAAACAGAATTTTAGCTTAGTTTAAATTTACCTGTATTTTCTGAAATAAGTGAAATATTGTTAAAGCAAGTAAAGTTAAGTATTTAAAAATGGCTTTGGACATGATCCTAAAACCTTGTATCATGATTTTTAACAGGACAAAATTCAATTGGAAGGAACTGAAGTTCCTTGGTTTAGTTCTTGTTTTAATTTGCTCGGTTTTGCTTGTTTTGGGGCAGGGTCTGGCTCTGCAGTCTAGGCAAGGCTTGACTGACAGCAATCCTGCTTGGGCGTCAGTGCTAGGATGACAAATGTGAACCCCATACTTACTTGGCTCTTTGTTTAGTTCTTAATAACAAGATGAATGTAAGAGTGAAGACATATGACTCATCCTGGCACCATGAAGGGAGACGCAGAGGCCAACAGTGACACTCTATCTCAGACTTTGCACATTTAAGTATCTTGAGTGAAAGTGGTCATTGCTTATTCTCTTTGTGGTTAATACATATACAGATGGATTAAATTTACATTCTCAATGTGTTGTGGGAGTATGAGGAAAGGGATTTGCAGAAAACATGCAAATGAAGCCTAGGTATCAGTTCTCAAGGCTGAGAGTTAAGTTTTCTCTCCCCCTAGGCATCAGGTTCTTGCCCTCCAAACAAGGACTCAGAAGATCTCCGAGGAAACAACGTGAACACCTGGACCTGAGCAGAGTTCATGAACTGCATGGGAGCAGGTAGATCCCATCCATGAACTGGCCACAGAGTCAGGGAAAGCATACCTCCTCTCTAACCAGGAGAGCTGAGCACTGCAAAGGGACACCCATCATCTTGTGTGGATTCCATGTCACAGAGTTGGCCCTAAAAAAAAAAAAATCACGTTAGGTGGTAGCATCGCTCACCACACATCAGGCTCAGATTATCGAGGGTCTGTCCCTGGCACCAGAGTTTCCAGGTTATGGTCCTTTCCTCATACTCCAGGATGACACTCCATCTACAGAATTGCAGCCTCCCACTGTTCACAGAGACAGGGTTGGTAAATATGCTTCCGTGTCCTTTCCTTTCTCTGCACCTCCAATGAGAGCATATGTTTGCCTGTATGGTGTTCTCAGAGCCCTTAGGGTGACTGGGATCACTGAATTCAGGGTCTTTCTTTAGCCACTGTTGACAAGATATAAGGGTCATCCTTATGGTATTGTCCCTGCTTCTGACTCTGCCACAGTGGCCTGGATGAGGAAACATTACTGCACTGGTCATCTGTCCTTTCTTTGATGGCATTTGTCCTACTCAATTCATGACATACATCTCACATGCATCCTTCCAGAGGGACTTTTAGTTACTCTCTGAAGTCATCTCTCCCCTCACCTGATGCTGTCTGTGATGAGCAGAATGACTATACAAGAGAGCTTCTGCTATCTTTTCCTTCCTCTTCTTCCCTTCCTTTATTTTCTCTTTGAAACAGGGTCTCACTACAAAGCCTATAAAGATTCAAAGTTGTTATCCTCATGTCTCAGCCCCCTGAGTACTTGGAATATGGGCATGGTTGTCTACATCTACCTTACAGCAGAGTTTCTAATAAATCTTGTCCTCATTCAAATGAAACTCTACGTTCTTTCAGTGACTGTGGTTCTAAGAGGCACAGCTCAGGGACTTACACTACATTAGAACCATGGTTCATATTTCTTTAATAATTATCATTATTATTAACTTAATCTGGATAGTCTTAACTGACTCTCCCTCACCCCAGGGCATGGGGATTATTTTACAGTTTTGTTTATGGTCTTTCCCTATAGTTCAAATTGCAAACTGCAGCACATGATTGGGGATGCCCCGGGGTGACCTCTGTGTTCAGTCTACATCTCTTCCCTTCCTTTATGCATTCTATAACACCAGATTATTTCTTGTTCTCTGAGTATTCTACTCTACTCTTGGGACCATCATGCCATTGCCTCTTTCTTGGCTTCACTTTGTTTAATTTTATTTGTCCCTACATCCAGATCCTTAAAGTATTTCTTCAGACACATTCAACTTCCTTTAACTTCTCCCCTTCACTCCCACTGCACTGCTCCGACCCAGCCCTTCCCAGTACCCAGAGAAAGCAACTGTTGCTGCCAAGAATTCCATATTCATTAAGCAAGCTCAACGCTTGCCAAGATTATGAAGGTCTTTGGGATGAGGGCTACAGTATGACCTTTGTATAAAGAAACCCACAGGAGGAAGGAAGTAAGGCAGTGGAACAGCTCATAGCAGCTGAGTCCAAGTTGCCCTAGCTTGCTGTTCCCCTTACCCCTCAAGGTGTGAGGACCTCGGGAAATAATGATGAATGACAGGTGTAATCTGGCTGATTAGAGGACACTTACTATACTGGAAATCTTACTTAAGCCAGTGAACAATCCAGCTCAGCAGTTCATGGCATTTGGACAACACCCTTGGGACTTATAATTGTGCCAGATAATCTGCCAACTCCTTGGACAGGTCTTCTGTATTTCTACCAGTTTGCTGCTCTACCTCCACACAGAGGGCCACAAACACACTCTACCCTCTACCCAGACTGGGCCTAACTTTCTCCGAGGACATTTAAACATCTCTGCTCTCCAGCTGGAATACCCTTCTTTCATTTCTGCCCCTCACTGGATGATGCTGAGCCACCATGCTGATGCTTGGCACATGCTTTCTGGAATGACCTTCCTAGGAAGGACCATTTCTTCCTCCATCTCTGTTATCAGCAGGCTTGCCTTGGCTCTCAAGTGGGGTCCAAGGCAATTGCTGATGCAGCTTCTGTTTCGTGGAAACTCTCAGCGAGTCCTGAAGTCCCCTGGAAGAGCAGACAGCTACAGTGTCAGACATACTCTTGAGTACCTGGGTTCCTAGCAGCCCATTTCAGCTACACTGGCTCCAGCAAAGGCAGTGCTAGCAAGAAAGAGAGTCATCTGAAGGATTAGGTTTGTTCCCAAAGAGGATGTTGATAGTGTTGGGCCATTATGCTGTGAGAATGTCCCTTAGGTATGCCCTGAAACCTCAGAGGGCAAGAACGGACCATGGATTTCTTTTCCCCTTAGAGTGAGTCCTAAACTTTGGCTTGTGATACTTAGAGAAAAGTTATTTTTCCAAAGGAGTCCCATTTCTTTCCTAAAATTAAGCCCCCACACATTGTGCTCCAGCAATTTCCACAGATTCTGTGACCATATTCACCAAAGAACGTGCACAGCATGCTAAGAATGCTGTAGGATGTTACCATCTGCTACATGTGCTCAGAGCACGACATGGCAGTGCCCTGATTTCTGAGTATTCCATCCTTGGCTATTCCACTTGGCAAATTTAATCATAACTTAGTTTTGAGAATTGTAGCAATAGGAACACGGAGGACTCTGTGTTCCAAGATGAACAGTCTGAGTGTTTCTCTCAAATAACAGTCTTCAGTACAAAAGCGTGTGGGTGTTTATTTTCCTGAGGCTCCAAGTAGGTAATTTAGTGAGCTTTTAAGTGGTGGTGGCGGGGTGCTCCATGGTCCTCAGCACTTGCCAAATGAAGTGGCATTAAAGGGTGTATGAAAGATGCTTACACTTGGTCAGAAACAGTCACAGAACGGAAGGGGCTGTGCACTCATTGGCCCATTCTGAAAGCACACCAGTTCAGTTCTGGGTAGGCATGTACAATACCAGGGTTCTAGCCAAGCTCAGGTGGAAGCACTGCTGCTCTCATCTTTCCTCTCCATGGACCATGTAGTCAGAACAAGGGCAGTGCTAGTGACTTAACCCTGCTGTGTCGAGGCCAGGGCTCCAGGAAGCAGAGTCAGGGACAGTCATCCCCTGAAATAAGGCTTGACTGCTCTGCCCCAACTCTTCCTTAGCCTTATTTCTGCCAATTCAAAAAGGACACTCTTGGCTCTATCCTTGACTGCTTCCTCCCCTTCTCCCACACTCACGGCTTCTGTCCATGTAAGCCTGAGCTGGCCTAGTCTTACACAGATACTCTCTGGTCTGGGCTCTCTGCATGCTGACAGATGCTCCCAAGCTCCTGAAGCCTCTTCCCTGGTCCTGACACAGAACTTGTGCCAAAATGTCCAGGGGCAGAGCCAGGGTGAAGCTTTTCCTGGGAAGCATCTGGCTGCTTGGCAGGGCATGGTAGGCAATTGTCAGCCTCTGATGAATTATGGCTTTCTCTGTAGTCTGGAGTGGCAGAACTCACAACTGTAGCTGCCCTGCTGACCTGGTTGACTTGCTGTGTTGTGATGGGAGAACCATTTACCCTTTGCCTGTGGCTCAGAACCACAGCCTGAAGCCACCATATTTTGTATTCTGCACCCCGCCCCTGACTTCGGTGTGTTTTATGCTAATCAAACATTACTTCCTTTGTGCTTTGCAGCCTTTCTCGATGGTCTGCTGCACCCACCCCAAGCAAGAGCTACTTAATGCATCAATCAGAGCTATGTCAGAAAAGGGTTGCTGTGGGATGAAGCCAGGAGTATAAAATCACTGGCATGTCTTGCTTCATCTCAGCTGACTGTATCTAATGCCAAACATTAACTTTCAGCATTACAAAGGACAAAGTGTTTGCCTGCTTTGAGAAAACTATTTACTGTATTTACTGCTTTCCTTAAAGCCATGGATGTTATTCTTATGGTATCGTGGAAGCTATACATCTCCCTCGAAAAATGTGGACAGGCAGGTTTTTTAAATCATGGCAGTGGATTCAAAGATGCCAGGAATGAACCCTAGAGATAAACCCCCATTTCTGGAAGTGACTCTCCTTCAGTGACTTGATATGGGATTTGATCCTTCTTCTTCTTCTTCTTCTTCTTCTTCTTCTTCTTCTTCTTCTTCTTCTTCTTCTTCTTCTTCTTCTTCTTCTTCTTCTTCTTCTTGTAGTTACACATAGGCAAGGCTCACAAGTACAGGCAGAGTGGGCATGCTGGCATCCCAAGACTTCCTTAGAAGTGGAATGCCATTGTCCTTTGTATAGCTTTTAACAAGCTACATTATAGACTAGGAAATTCCACGTACCTCTCCACCCCGCTCAGCTTCCATTTGTGTTTCCGGGACATCAGTAATCCTCCACCCCAAGCTGCCTGAAATGACAAAACAGACAAGGAAGAATGCATTACCTTTTCGAAGCCTAGATTTCTAGTTTGGTGTCTTCCATTTTAATGGGAATGTCATAGTATGAAAATGATCTTCACAGTTCCATGTAGATTGGGGCAGTGGACCACCTTCTCCTAATGTGAGGTCTTTAAATGTCAAGGTGGGAAGTTTCAGAATCTATCTTACATTTATATGTCATACGTTTATAATTATGGAGTCAAATTAGAGACATATTTTCCCAGTCTGCATGAGCAGGAGAAAGATCACCTTTCCAGCCCTTCCTGCAGTTTTTAAGCTGTTCCCTTGGAAGGCCCATGCTCTCAGAATGAGAAAGCCCATGACTGACACAGATGGAGTAGATAAGATGGGCTGGGGAACCATTAAACAGGTTCCATGTTGAAAGCCAGAATGACCCAGGTCAATGCTACTTACAGTTTTAGCTTAGGGCAGCATAAGGAGTTTGCACCTGAATGTGTAACAACTTACCACATCCTTATGAAGAAAATATTGTAACAACAAAGATCAGTTGAACTAAACATCGTGCTGAGTGGTGATGGTTTGTGGTTGGTTATTTATTACAAATATTTTATCTGGCCATGGATCATTAGCAAGTACTTTGCAGATAGTAACTGATCTTCAAGCCACACCACCAAGTAACACACTCAATTTAAATCCATTCAGTCTCCCCTTGTAAAAATGGACATATTTTTCATTAGAAAATGCTGGTATGTTCTTTCTTTAAATTTTGGTGTCATTGAACTTTGTGTTAACATATCTCTAATATAGTTTGGCTTCTTAGTTTACTAAACACATTGGAAATTTGGTAATTCATACTTCCTAGTAAGTTGTTAGGTCTGCTTTTTGCCCACCAAAGACATGATTATCTAACTTGAACTTGAGTTTTATAATACTGTGGAATTTTGCTGCAAATGTAAATCCAGATTATACCTATAAGGGAGATCTGCATATATGTGACTGTGTGTGTTGTGGGGGTGGATTTTAGCCAGAGACATTATGGATCAATAAATTGAGAACCAAGGTCAAGAACTAGGCATGTCAATATTTTCATGTTGGGAACCTTCATGCGTAATCAGGCTGTTTCTGACTAATATTATACACTGTGTAAGTTCTGTGCCTCTGAAATCTTTAAAATCTAAATATGAGAGAGAGAGAGAGAGAGAGAGAGAGAGAGAGAGAGAGAGAGAGAGAGAGAGACAGGATGCAAATAGTATTTCATGAGTCTAATCTAAAAAGTGTGCAGAGGTATTTAATGGGTAGTCACTGAGAGGTACTTACATCCACATGCATCCAGATCTTATACTTTTTGCAAATGTCAGCAACAGCCAAGAGGGGATCAAAAGCCCCATACACAGTGGTTCCAGCTGTGGCGCTCACAAGGAAAGGAACAAATCCCTACAAAAGCAAGAAAGCCCAGTTGTGTAAACAGTGCCTCTGGGTTTATTTACGCATTTCAAATTTTGAGACAAGGCCTTTCCCAGTCTCACTTGGAACTTGGTATGTTCCAAGACTAGTCTCAGTATGTGACAATCTTCCCAGCTCAGTCTCTTGAGTGCTGGCGCTGCAGGCATGACCACAGCACCAGGATCCGAAGCTTCTACTTTTTTATTTGAATTAGAAACAAGGTTGTTTTACATGTCAATCTCAGTTTCCTCTCCCTCCCCTCCTCCCCTACCGCCACACCCAACTAAAACCCTACCTATCACATATCCTTGATCCGAAGCTTCTTTTAGTGAACCAATTAAAAACATAAGCACTCTTCCCTACAACCTGCATTGGTTTTAACCATCAGAAGAGTTGTCAGCACTATAGATTGACTAAACCAACGACTCCTCTAAGATTCTGAACTCTCCACTCCACTGCACCCGATAGCTGCCCTGTGACAGCAGCGGTTAGCAGCACTGGCTTTGCTGCATTGGAGGTTTGCAGTGTTGTCCCCAAGCCATTGCACACTCCAGGTAGACTGAATGACTCTTCTTATTTTCTTTGCTCATTTTCTGCTCCTTCTTCTTCTTTACACCTAGACACCTGATTTAACATCCCTTAGCATGTCCAAGTGGGAAGGATGGATTGAGAGCAGGCTCGGACAAGCCCATGCTCCTATGTGGACTAGCTCAGGTGAGCTTAGAGGGGAGCTCACATGGGCTAAGCATTCTCCAAGCCATGGCAACATGAAACTTGATTTAAATAGTAGGACATGACTACAAAAGGGTGTAAGAATATCGTAGATACAATCAACTCTGCACAGTCTCTCTATGCTGTCCTGACCATCCTGTTGGTTCATAGACCTTGATGTTTCAGAGTTTGTCTTTAGGTGGCAGCAAAGGTTTAATCTTATGGTTTATATTACGAGTCACCTTTCTAATACAAGAAAGCTGTAGGAAGGAAACAAGACATATGAAAATAAATGATTACTGCTAAGCACAGTAATTATATCTACTGCTAAATCAGACATCAAACCCTTTACCTACTAAAAGTTAAACAGAATTCTCAAAGCAATCTCTGACTTGCGAACTGTCCAAGGACATATTCTTTGATGACATTGTTATTTTGTTTTGTATTTTTGGGACATAATGTCATATCTTCCAAAATGACCTCAGACTCCACATCTAGCTGAGGATGACTTTGAACTTCTGATTCTTTTGCCTCGACCACACTTACTTTATGGATACTGGGGGTCAACCCAGGGCTTTTTGCAAGCTAAACAACTGAGTCATATCCCCAGCCTGTCTTATTATTGCTAAAAGAGTTCTAAATTTGTGCTTCAGATCAGATGTGTAGTTTAGCATGGTCCTCTCAGAACTCCAAGTGACAGTCACTCACATGTTGCATGAACATGCCAGTTCTTAGCTGTGCAGCATGTGTGTGTGTGTGGGGGGGGCTTTAGAAATCTGTCTCTGTATAGATTATCTACTCAGCAGTTTAAACTACACACACAAACACACACACACAAACACACACACACACAAAAATACACACACACAAACACACACACACACACACACACACACACATCACATACATGTACACATACACATACATATACTCAGAGACCAATATGATGATTGTGTGAAAAAATTCATATTCATGTTAAAGCTTGGAGACTGGGGTTTGGATCCTTTTATTAAAAACAAAGCCTAAAAGTCTTTTTCTTGGTTACAAATAAAAATACATATTGCCATGGGTGAAGAGATCCCTACAAAAACTTACTTTCTGTTTGACTTCAAGGATTCTTCTTTCAAGATCAGATGGGATCATTTTCCCTCTGTAAGGAAAAAGGAATATATGTGGGTTTTTCTGGGCTAGTTTTCTTTGCTGTCTTTACAGTGTCAGGAGCCTCAAGGTGGTAGACTCCAACTCATTAACCAGTGCTCAGTTAAGACAGCTCTTTGGCTGTCCCTGGAGACAGAAACAAATGCATTTGTCTACCAGCATGACATAGAACCATTTCATTTCATAGAGTGTTTGAGAGACACCTGACCACACCATGTCCTTGGTAAAATGGTCACACTGCCCCTATTCTTTGCCTACAGACTGCTAAAATGCATCCTTTTAATTGATTTGAAACAGTTCTAGTTGGGAACAAGACTTTTGGCAATGAAAGAGAAATTCAGAAAAAAAAATCACTACCAATTTCCACTTTAGAAAAAAAATCACTCCAAATGAATGGATCTACAGTTTTGTTTTTGTTTTTGTTTTTTGTTTTTGATGGAACACCAAGAAGAGAGAATCCATTCTGAGACATTTGGGTGATTCCCAATCGCCTATATACCCTTAAAGCCTGAAAGCATAAAGCAAGTCAAAACCCAGGGATTCATTTCAAACACTCAGATAGAAAAGCACATGAAGAAGAAACATCATGTTGTTCCCAATAGATCTCTTTCCCAAGGGACAGAGCTACCTCTGTGCTTACTATGATAATCAGTCAAATAGGAAGGCACCAGGTGAGGACACATCATTGCGTTCTGACACCATTTCTTTCCTAGACTAAAATTCAACATTATGATAATCATGAGAAATTATTTCTAGAATAAGTTATATGATGCCAAGTATTCCTGGAAAATGATAGTAGTTATAGTTAGTTATTAGGATTAAGCAAGTCAATAACTTAACAAATGCAAAAATATTTTTAAAGGCTTGGCGTGTGATAGACACATAGTCATAGCTCAGATTATTGTAATGTGGTGTGATATTTCTGTTTTAAGATTCCAAAGGAAAATAAAAAACAATAAAATAGTTGGAAGGAGATGTGGGTGGTGAAATACTTTCTAAGGTTGGTAACTTTCCCCATTGGGATCATTAATCTAAGTTTTATAAAGATACTTTTGAAAAAGTAAGGACAGAGAGTGTATAATACAAAAATTGGGTGGGGATGTTACTGGCATTCAATGAGCAGTGACTGGGACTTGGTATGTTAGCCCCTGTGGATCTAAACACATAGTGACCATGGGCTGCTTTATTGTGCCTTCTAGCATCTTCCCAAAACTATGTGATTTTTATTACAGGTTAATTAACACTCTCACATTTCTTTAGTCTTTAAAATAATCTGAATATTCTGTGGAGGGTATGTCAGTTACAGTTTTTTTCCAACTTCATTACAGATTTAAAAAAAGAAGAAGCAGCAGCTGGACAAAACAGTTGGAATGCACAGCAGACATTACATCTCAAAGCTTTGGGAACCACTGGCTTAGGTGGTTCTGCCAGAACAAAGTGATTCATATGCAATCACCCAGGCAACAGTAATGGACTGGGGATTGGATTGCCAGGTTAGAATTTAGCAAAAGGCACTATGGGCATATTGCTGTGAAGAGCATGTCTGCAAGGACAGAGCATCCCATCTTCCAGACTCGTGTGAGACAGGGAAATGGGGCTGGGAATGAACTCTCACAAGCATTTTACACCCTAAATTAGTTAAATATTTACTGATAAGAAATCAAAGAAATCAATTTTATCTTATTTACATGTGAGTATGCATGTGTTTTCATGCTCACGTGTGCACAGGTGCACATGTTTATAGGTATACATGCTTGTGCATATGCATGTCTGTGGAGGCCAGTTCTCAGGTTCCAGTCACGGTTCCTTTTGAGGTAGGGTCTTTCCTTGGCCTGGAACTCTCCAAGTAGGCTAGGCTGACTGGCCAGTAAGTCCCAGGCATTTGCTTGCCTCAGTCTCACCCCCAAGGTCTAACTTTTAAACCTGAGTTCTGGGGGTGGAACTCTTGTGTTTGAAAGACAAGTACTTTAGAGTGAATGATTTACCTAGCCAGACACATTAGTTCTTGGCATGCATATAATTTCACCGTTTGTTAAAGATGACAGCAAACATGCATACCATTGAGATGCATGTGCCTGTTTAATTTCACACAAAGAATTAGATGTTGGATGAATGTTTTATGCTGCAGGATGTAGATCATCTTCAGAGGTTTCCAGAGTGGACAGATGTGTTTATAATAGCAATTAAAAAATTAATCATTCTAACATACAGTCCAGAGAGATACCAATCTGATACTTGTATAATGAAGAATGACAAAAGGAAACTGTTAAAATCTTTGTTTTCTGTAATTGTGCCATTTAAGTTTCTACAGTAGCAGAAAATCTTGTATGTACAGTCAAAGCATCGAAATTCATAGCATACAATAGCCTTAAATCTCAGCCAGGTTGTTGCAGGTGATGGTTGTTGGTATTGTATAACACGAAGGCATGTACTGAGCCAAGTGTGCTGGTTGCCCATTCAGAACCAAGTCTGCAGTGAAATTGCAGAATACAACTGAGTGGAGGCTGCTAGAAATGTCTTGGAATTACTACATGGTGATTTTGAATTAACTTTTGCTCCTTGCACAGCCAGAAACATTTTACTATTGTCAGATTTTTCATGACCTCCCCCCACAGTGAAGTGATCCCCATATGAGGTTGTGACCCATCATTGATGGAGCTGTGCCTGGATCACAGACTGTCTCACCCTGCATTCAATGAACTGTTCAAACTTCAGAGTCAGAACGTTTTAAGCATGTTAAAATCACCATAGTGTTTTGCAGGTAAGCATGGGACTTCAAAGAAAACCCTTAGAAACTGGTTACACATGTCTTAGATTTCTCTAGTTTGCCTAAATTGGGAAAGTATGGGGTGGGTTGATAATCACCATTTGCTCATCAAATTACATCAGGATATTTTGTTCCATATAAACCATTCAGCTGTCACTGAGTAGTCAAGAGTTGGGGCGCATTAGAACTGGGAATGACCTCAAGGACTGGCTGTAGTCTCATTTCATTTATCATATGAGGAGGAGGCTGAGGGGGGAAATGACCACCTGACACAAACGGGCATGGATTATACCTAAAATAAACATAAAACTTACAGAACAAATTTAAAGGGACCACACACTTAGTGATGCTATTTTTTAAGGTTAGATTATTTTTTAATTGTTTGAGAATGTTGTACACATATCTAATTTGTTTTGATCAAAGTCACCTTTCATTATCACCCCTCCAGTTCCTTCCTCTTCACCATCACCTATTTTCCCTCCCAGCTTCATGTGCTCTCCTATTTTTTCTAACCCACCAAGTCCACTTTGTGCTGCCTCTATGCGAATGGGTGTGGGACCATCTATTGGACATGGATGGGTAGTCTTTCAGTGGCCACATCTCTGAAGAAAAACTGAGGAAAGTTATTCTCTCTGATGATAACATACTGCTTTCAGGAACCAGTTATCACCCAAACCTGCCTGGGAAACAGCAGTGAATGCAGAATTGAGAATTCACTTTCTTTTTTATTTCCATAGTGTAATCTGGGAATACTGATGTCACTCCAGACAGACATCGTGGGACTGTGGACACAAAACCTTACATCACTTTTTATTAATTTCACTTTGTTTGGAGAACTTCATACAAGGGCACTGTATCTACATTACTTCCACCTTCCCTCTCTCCTCTGACTCCACCCCCCCCCCGTTGTCTCTCATATTCCCAAATTCAAGATCTTTACACACATGCACACATGTAAATACAACCTGCTGATCCCATTTAGTGTTGTCTTAAGTACATATACTCCCCTCATCAAAGAAGTTCCTTTTTGCAAGAGATAGAACTATTAATAAGATCTCTAACTGGTCGAAATGTAGAGAGTAAGTGACAGTGGGATGCCCAACTCCATCTGATACACCTGTAATGCAACCCCCACACTCAAGGCTCCAGGAAAATCTCAGAAGAGGAGGCAGAAAGATTGTAAGGGCAGAAGCCCAGGATGCCTGCTGCTAGTTAGTGTCTTCAATACCTGTCAGGGGAAGTGCACCCATGAAATCTCAACAATATGGTTGCCTGAACAAGATTGGGAAAGGTGTAACCTTTCCCTTTTGAGATCCCAGAATTCACTGAGTTACTTTGGGATACCAATGCCTAATATTTAGCATGCCTAAGAATCACTAAAGTACTACTTAAAAATGTGAATTCCTTGGCTTCACAGAGTTGAAGAATGAAGATTTTTGAACAAGTATCTATAAGTACTTACAATGTGCAGATATTATTTATGATCTGGTGTGCCAAGGTGATGGAACATCTTATGCTCCAGGTCTTCTCCTACGTTAACGTGGGAGAGAAATGATAGGTAGACAAATACATAGAAAGCTGCATTTCTAACGTGCGCCCAGGTGATTATGATGCTGGTAGACTCAGGTTCACATGCAGAGAAACCGTGCTTTAGAAATGTATATTCAGCCTGGGTAGCATTTTAATAAAATAGCAAGCTGGCTAAAGACTTCTCATATGAGCCATAGTTCAGAGTCCTTATGGCTATCAGGCAGCAAACAGAAGGGGCTCCAGATGTAGCACAGACACTCTCTGCTTGCCCATATGTGGTGGAGCTACCATCAGGCTTTTCTGAGGATTTGTAGCTGTCTGTCATAGCCTTTCTAGAAGTCCTCTGTATGGCAGCTTTGCATCCTCTATGCCTGACCTACCAGGATTTCTATAGCATAAATGTATGCTTTTCACATTTACTCAGTCTGTAACCTCACAGTAACCACCAGTACCAATATGACATGGCTCTGAGTGTCAGTGCAGCAGAAGACACCCCCTGGGTGAGAGCTGTTGAACCAAGCTGAGGGTTTGGTATGACGATTTTATTTTGAAATTATTTTGGTAAGTGATAGTTTTAGAAAGTCATACAAAGTTGCCTGCATAAAGCCCCAGCAAAATGCTAGTCAGTTGGAAAAGTCTTTGTGCTAAGACTTTCAGTCCACACTGTGGATTGTGGACTGTGGTTTATTCCTGAA